AATTTATAATTAGGACTATATATATTAATAAGTTTTATGTAATCAAATTAGATAACTAGCAATTTAATACATTTTAATATATTATAATCATAATAGTTGTATTCGGAAACTTATATTTTTGAATAGAATAAATTGATATTTAATAATATTTAGTGATATATAATGGAAGATGTAATATATTTATATACTTAGAAAAAATTATTCAATTAATGAATATCTTTTTCACATAAAATAATGGAATCAACACATCAATTTATATAATTTAATATATTTTCTATAATAATCACTTTTATCTATCGATGCAATATAATTAAGGATAAATAAGGATATTATTAAATAAAGATATAAGGATCCTAAATAAAGAATATTATTGAATAAACATTCAAATATATAATAAAAAAAAATGAATAAATATATATACATACTATAATGTATACATAAGTAAAATATATATTTATAATATACTTTAATTTATGTCGTGTCTTTCACAAATTTTAAAAAGAATAAAATTTAGAATCGGATCAGTTATTTGAGCATAGTACGCCATCTACACATTAAATTAGAAAATTCTTGTTGTTTTTTGCTGATATTCAATGATGAGAGGTGCTTTCTGTTTTCTAAAAACTTTAAACTCATTATTGATTGGTATGAAATAATATAAGTTTTTTATATTAACCAATCAGAGATTCGTTATAACGGAATATAAAAAGGAATTTGCTTTGGCGTTTTAAGTAGAGGCGCCATCTACAGATCAGCTCAATTCCTTGTAATTGTTCTTTACAGTGAGGTTCAATAAACATTATTTGATTATAAATTGTGCTCTATCACTTTAACAGTGATTTACAATGGTAATTAATTGATTAATTTTATTTTTATATTATGACCATCATGAAATAATATTATTATAACACCATAAGAAATGATAATGAATTATCTTTCATTACCCGGTATCGTATAATGGTGTGACAAATGGCGCACGTGTGTCAATAGAAAAACTTTTTTTTATTATAAATATTTAATATTAATTTTTTATAAAAAAATGAAATTTTCTCTTAAATATAATAATATAATCTAAAAATATTTTAAATTTTTTAGTTATTGAATTGCCTCAATCATATTTTATAACCAATAATTAATAATAAAAGAACGAAAATTATATAAAAACTAAATTAAGATATAATATTTTTTAATTGTATCTTTTAATTTATATGAAAAATTTTTATTCAATTATTATTCGTAATCGATCAAGAAAATCTATATTTTAATATAAAATATTTGCAGGTTTCCTTGAATCCTGTCAGAATTCTCAAAAATGAGGCAGAGGAAGAAAAAGCAGAAATTGCTAGATTAAGTTTATTTGTAGGAGCAATAGCTATTGGTGATTTAGTAAAATCTACACTTGGTCCTAAAGGTATGGACAAGGTATTAGTAGCTCATGGTCGATCTGCAGGACAAGTTCAAGTTACCAATGATGGAGCAACAATTCTTAAAAATGTTGGTGTAGATAATCCTGCTGCTAAAATTTTAGTAGACATGTCTCGTGTACAAGATGATGAAGTTGGTGATGGTACTACTTCTGTGACTGTTCTTGGTTGGTATAATTTTTTTTAATTTTTCTAATTATTATTTATATCTTTCATATAAAAAATTTTAATAAAAAATTATAATATTAACGATATTTAATATATAATATTTAAAATAGTTATTTTTACTTTAGCTGCTGAATTATTAAGAGAAGCAGAAAAATTAATTGATCAAAAAATTCATCCACAAACTATAATTGCTGGTTGGAGGAATGCAACAAATGTAGCAAGAGAAGCTTTAAAAAATGCTACAGCTGATAATTCTGCTGATCCTGAATGTTTCCGTGAAGATCTGTTAAATATTGCTCGCACGACCTTGAGTTCAAAAATTCTATCCCAACATAAAGAACATTTTAGTAAGCTTGCAGTAGATGCTGTGATGCGTCTTAAAGGATCTGGAAATTTATCAGCTATTCAAGTAATTAAGAAACGTGGAGGAACTTTAGCTGATTCATTTCTTGATGATGGATTTTTGTTAGATAAAAAGCCTGGAGTACATCAGCCACAAAGAGTAACTGATGCACGTATACTCATAGCAAATACTCCCATGGATACAGATAAAATTAAAGTAAGAAAGAGATGAAAAAGAGTGTATAAAAATATAAAATAAATCTATAATAATTATATAAATTTTAATATAATACATATTTTCATTGTTTTACAGGTATTTGGATCTAGAGTTAGAGTTGATTCAATGGCAAAAATTGCAGAGTTAGAAGCAGCAGAAAAAGAAAAAATGAAAGTAATGTTATAATCATATTATAGTTTACATACAATTTTAAAGGATATTATATTTATTTTTAATTATTGCCTTTAATTTAGGATAAAGTTGACAAGATCATAAAACATGGCTGCAATGTTTTTGTTAATAGACAATTAATTTATAATTATCCAGAACAATTGTTTGCTGATGCTAATATTATGGCTATTGAACATGCCGATTTCGATGGTATCGAACGACTTGCTCTTGTTACTGGTGGAGAAATAGTCAGTACTTTTGATAATCCTGATATGGTGAAACTTGGCAAATGTGATCTTATTGAACAGGTACATTTGAATATTTTTAAAATCGTGGAATGTTTCTAATGCTTTATTATTTTTTTAGGTGATGATAGGTGAAGATACTTTATTACGATTTTCAGGAGTTCCTTTAGGAGAAGCTTGTACGGTAATCATTAGGGGTGCGACCCAGCAAATTCTTGATGAAGCTGAGAGGTCTTTACACGATGCACTTTGTGTATTATCAGCTACCGTTCGCGAATCAAGAATTGTTATGGTGGAGGATGTAGTGAGATGATAATGGCTTGTGCCGTTATGAAAGCTGCTGCTTCTACTCCTGGAAAAGAATCAGTTGCAATGGAATCTTTTGCTCGAGCATTGCAACAATTACCTACTGTTATTGCTGATAATGCTGGTTACGATTCAGCTCAACTAATTAGTGAATTACGAGCTGCACATAACTCTGGTGCAAATACTATGGGTTTGGTATGTTTATTTTTACAATTATTACTGGTAAAAATACCAATAAATATCATAATAAATAATTAATTACTTTTATTTCACAATAACAGATATGGAACGAGGAAAAGTAGGTTGTATGAAACAATTAGGGGTAACTGAATCTTGGGCTGTGAAGAGACAAGTTCTACTTAGTGCAGCAGAAGCAGCAGAAATGATTTTACGTGTGGATGATATTTTACGAGCAGCGCCCAGAAAGCGTGTTAAGGATCGTGGACGTTGTTAATTACAAATGTTCATTTATTGCTTTATTTGTATTTGCTTTCTTTCATATTACAAATTATAATCAAATAATAAACTATTTAGCTTCATTATTTTGTTAAGAAATATTAATTAAACATATTAATAATTTCTTAAATGCTATATATTATTTTGCGTTATAAATCTTATATCGCTATTCAAAAGAAAAGTATAAAAGGGATTTAAATATGAAAAATATATACATTTTGTAATCATCATTTTTTATAACAATATAACAGATTTAACATCAATAAATGCTTGATAACGTGAATCAGTGTATTTTATTCACTAAAGCTTTGCATTGAAAATTAAACTTGATACAAAATTAAAAACTTAAATTAAATCTCTAGCAATATCATTCAAATTATACATAAAATTTATAATAATATTATAATATCGTATTTTTGTTTTTATTTCCAGAAAATAAAGAATCTGAGATTGATAAATATTTCTAGTTTGTATATTTTTTATATATTGATAACATTATGTGATTATGTAAATTATATCATTGTGAATTTATGTCACTATCTATTTTTAAATATTAAACTTACATCACATATCTATATTAATCAATGCATGATCTATAAAATGACGAAATATATTTTTAAAGATATTAAAATTATCATTAAATTTATTTAATGAAAAGATTTAAATAGACCAAATATTATTTTCTCTACTCTAATATGCAAATCTTAATTTTGGATCATAACCAAGTTTATCAAGATTAGGATTGCAAGCAAAATTTATCATTGGAGGTGGACCACACATAAGTACCATTGTATCAGATGATGGAGGGAACATGTGATCTTTTATCATATCTGCATTTATATGGCCTGTACTATATTGCCAATTTTCACTACTAGTATCTAACGTATACCAAAGTTTCAATTTATTAGGATGATTCTTTGCAATATCATCCAATTCATCTCGAAGTAATATGTCTTTTTCTGTTTGATTGGCAAAAAGTAAGGAAGTTTGAGTTTCATCAGTAGAATCCTTTATTATAGCACGAATTAATTGTAGCATTGGTGTGATTCCTGTTCCACCAGCTAGCATCACAATCTATATTAACAATATAATAAAAGAAGAATAAAAAAAGATTTTTTTTATTTTTAAAATTTATGATTAAGAAATATGATTGCATAAATTTAATGTACATACCTTTTTAACATTATATTCTGTAGGTGGATCTTTTCTTAAAATTTTTATAGAAAAATTTCCATGACCTTTATAAATAAGTCGACCAGAAGGTCCTCTAAAATCAACTGTCTCTCCAATTTTTAAATCTTCTAAATATTGGGACATTTTTCCTCCTTCAGGGAATTTTGGATGTACATTTTTAAAATATACCTATATATTTTTATTTATAATTTAAAATATATTTATTTTTTATTTATATTTTTTTATTGAACTGTACATGAATCATATTACTCACTTTAATAATAAGATCTACATAACCATGGTCATCATCACTTGATACCGGTGTATAGGAACGTATAACAACTTCATCTCCAATCTTTACAGTTAAATGTATATGTTGACCAATTGGTAATCCCAATATGTGATTTGATGTTGGCAATGCAAATCTAAATTTTCTTGTATCATGACTTAATATATCCTTTTTTATTAATGGTAAACTATATTTAACTACTGGATCAACCAATAAAATAGGAGATTTTTTTTTTTATCACTATTCCAACATTTGTAAAATTTTACTGCTAACCCAATTACAGCTATAGTTCCCACAGCAGCCAATACTGATACAACCTAAAAGAAAAAAGAAATGTAAAAATTCAAAATTATAAGAACAAAATATATAAAAATATACTAAAATAATCATATAATAAATATATGTAATTGTTTTATTGAATGATTTTTTTTTTTAATTATTTATTGCTATGTATCACATAATGACGTATTTGAAAACTATTAAAAAATTATACACAAGTAGTTTGCTTAATTTTAGTAATATATAAAACTTAAATTAAATTAAAAAATGCAAACTTATAAAATTTATAAGAAAGTTTCAATCATAAATATATCCATTGAATATTTTTATATATAAATTAATTTTAAATAAATAAATATTCAATCATAATATTTTTTTTAAAAAAGTTGATTAAAAATTGTTTAAATCTTTAAGTAAAAAATTAAACATATAACTCATTTAAAAAATCATGTTATTTCGTAAATTATGTAATTTTTTTTTATGATAAATTTATTTTTTTCAGATATCAAAAAAAATTAACAAAACTATCTATAAAATAATAACTAATTCATAAAATCGATTTCTTAAAAGTGTTCATAAATATAACAATAAATTTTCAATTAATATAAAGAATAATCTATCATTTTTTTTATATATTTGAATGTACTTACCAGTGATCGTAAGTTTGACATTGTAAATCAAACCACACGTGGTTAAAACCTTAATGAAATAATGTTTAGAACAAGGCTAAAGTCGTAACCACATAAGAAAATAGAACTACATACAAAAAGATTCCGTAAAATATATGAATATATTAAGATTACTAATGCTCTGAATATATACTTATTGAAAAAGAATAGAAATGTCTTCGTTATTATCTTTCAAAGAGTTTTCATGCGCAAGCTTCACCGGTTTCTACATGGGGTCAAATACAGGGCGCTATCCTTTAAAATAGATCTTTCCTCAATCTAACATAAGAATAGTTGTACTATTCCAATGTATTTATAGCTATATTACTAGAAATATTACAAATATAAAATAATTGCATTTTTATGTATTGAATAAATGGCAGATGAAAGAAGGTTATTCTTTGAATTATTACTGGAAAATATGATAATATAAACTTCTATTATATTAGTATTTATATGATAAAAAATTAT